TCCTCCACAACTAGATTGAAGAACAAAACGACAGCAACTTGTCTGTTCCCCTTCCCCCAATTCTCCAGCACTGTTCCCATCCCCCCAATTACCCAATTAAAAAAAAAAAGATGTAAAATTGGTACCTAAAGAACTTGAGACCCTAGTCCAGCCTCCACTCTGAAAAACAGTGGGGACTGTCCTCTTCCCCTAAGGACATATGACCAAGCAGACGGATGGCTGCTGATTTAATCTGAGTCACTCTGCAAAGTGACTCAGGGCCTGGGAGCCCAGGGTTTAGCCTTAACATTGTTAGAGGGAAACCTCTTGTTAGAATCAAACATCTTGTTTTATGGATGCCTGATATTTATCAGTGTGACTTATCTGTCACCATTGTCCACCCAATTTAAATGTGGGTACAGTTAAAGTTCTCACTTTTTTGCCTCCTTGCTCATTCCTGTTAGCATCATTCTTTTGCCTTCAGAAAAAAAAATAGAAAAATAAAATGTGATTAATATGATCCCATTCAAATCATTAAACATAAGTTGTCATTATAGAAGCTGCAGACACAGTCTCAGGCACCTGATTCCAGCTATAAATCAGGGAGGCTGTCTACCAGGGGGGGAAAAAAGCAGTGGAATTAGAGTCAGGACACCTGCCTCTAAATTCCAGGTTTTCATTCACTTAGATGGCCCCTTTGGCAAATCAGTTATCTCCCTTTTGGGCTTACTGGCCTTATCTGAAAAATGTACAAACTGTTAGTCACTGCGCCATCACAGGCTGCTTGGAGATGGTGGCAACAAGATCAAGTGAAGGCCATGGAAACCAAAGAAATATTATATCCCACGTGCTGCAACCCTAGTCTGCTCAGCCTTTGTTCCAGACCAAGCGTGTTTCATCGGCTCTTTCTCATAAAGTCCGCACTGCCTTCAGCTACTGTGGATGCATTTTTAATTAAAAACAAAAAAAAACTTGTTTTCTCTTGCAGTGCATAGTATGGGACTGGGATTCCAACGGCAAACATGACTTCATTGGAGAATTCACCTCGACATTTAAGGAGATGAGAGGAGCGATGGAAGGGAAGCAGGTATGTGGTAAACAGCTCATGGTATTTCCCCGGACACTTTTCTCATGATGCACCCAACTGCGCATGAACAGCTAGAGGCAAGATGTCAATATATGATTAAGTGCGCTGAGCAGGGAACATGGTGGGATTTGAGTATCCAGCTTCTAGCACTACCCCAGCCCAAAGCAACTGCTGTGACCTTGCACAAGACTCTGCCCTGGTGTGGTGCAGTTTCTCCGTTAGTAAAATGGAGATGTTAGACGGGAAGTTTTCTAACTTCCTTTAGCTGTGTAGCCTTGGACAAGTAACCTAATCTCTCTCTGCCTCAGTTTTCTCACCTAAAAAGAAAATGGTGATAATTACCGATTTCATAGAATTTTGTGAAGAGTAAATGAAATAATCCATGATATGCATTTACTAGAGTGCCTAGCACATGGCTAGCTTTTTCAAAATACCTGCTGTTAGTAGTGGTATTCTTTCCAACGCTACATTTCGATGAGTTGGTGACATTAATTACACATTTAATGCTTTGGAGAGATGAATTGATTCCTCCAAGTGTTTATTATGGGCACCAGATCTTTATCTAGTTCCACTGCTTCTTGATATCAAGACATGTACCCAAACACTACCACATACCACAGAAGCACATAGGGGTTTTATTGCATCACACAGAAACCCAAGCCTCCTCTGTGTTTCTCTCAGACACGCATACCTTTATACACACATATATATCAATCTTTTAGTCAGTTGCTACCATCTGCATTCTAACCATGTAACTTCAGCTCTTACCTGTTCAGTGTTCACCTGCCCAGCTGCCACCTGCAGAACCTAAGTCTTTTTGACCAAGGACTTTCTGTAGCTGCTGGAGCCTTCCCTGCCCATGCCCATCAGGATGGAAGTGTCAGGGGAGATGTAACACCAACCAAAGAGCAGCTCTCAACAAATCACTAATGGGAGTTGGGGTATAAAGGGGGCGAAACTCTGAGGTGTGTTCTATGCAGCTCCCCAGCAGGGGTAAGCCCTGCTTGCCCACACTGCTTACTGACTTGATAATGCACCCCTTCCTGGCTGCCTCCCATCTCTGTTCCTCACTCCTCTACTGGTGTTTCCCGATATTACCTCCCAGATAAAGCATTTGCACTTAAATCCTTGCCTCAGGGTTTGTTTCTTGGGGAGCCCAAACCAAGATACCTGCCATTATTACTCTGGGGCCCACTGGCCCCATGGAGAAGCAAGGAGTGACAGCAGAGCTTTCAGTGGCTTTGAGAAAGGCCTTTTTCTTAGAGGTAAGACCTGTGCCTGGCCTGACCAGAAATAATAATTAGAGAAGATGTCCCAACTCATTTTTTTTTTGCAGTTCCCCATTGCCTAACTCATTTTTCAAGTCTCTTTTTTAGATATATGGTCAAGATATAACCAGACTATGTAGAAATAAACTAATATTCTTTAGAATTAGAAGCTTAATCTAAAGACCATTTGTTGAGTACACACCTTTGGTCTAGAAACTCAAGGGCAGCTTTCTGTACAGTTCCCACAAAACCTGTTATCTATGCTCTATTGTCTACTATGCATTGCAAGAATCTTGTCAGACACACAGAGGCTTCCACCTACGAGCAGGCATGCAGAGTTTTAGGGCCACAATGAAAACTAACACTAAATTATCAGTAAAGTCATTCTAAGAGTAAAAAAAGAATCTAGCCAGAGAAGTTGCTCCATTGAATGTACTGGACCAGGCCCAAATGAGCTAATAAATCAATGACAGTTATTGATACCATGCACTAGAGCTCTAAAGAGTTTTACAAAGTTTTGCCTTGCTCTCCTCTACAAATAAAAATAACGAAATCAATAAATAGGAAAAACATTTCATCTTGAGGCTCTTAGGAGGGTCTTAAAATAACATTATAACATATATCACAATTGAAGAACACCAAAGCATGATGCATTTAAAAAAACAGAAATAAATCTAAGTCTCACTGAGGAAATGGACCTTATGCTACTGTATTTTTCTGTATCACTGAGTTACCAGGAAGGTTTTACCTCAGCTGCCCAGTCCCTGTTCTGACACGTTTGCTCTTTGGGAACTGTTCCCTTATTTACTGATGCAACTAATAATTATTAAGGAACACCTACTAAGTACCAGGCACTATGCATCAGAGTAAAATATAAACACAAATCAAGTAAACAAAAAAATAAAAACGCAATTACAACTTGTGACAAAAGATATAAAAAACTGAACCAGTTTAGTTATAAAGGTGTGGTATAGAAGAGAACCTGAAAAAGTGATATTCAAGCTGAAGGCCCTTAAAGATGAAAAGACGTCAACCATGTAACAAACAAGGGAAAAGCATTTCAGGCAGAAGCAAAAGCACTGCAAAGTAGTGAGCTGGAAAGGAGCTTGGTATGATTAAGGATCTGGTAGGAGCCCAGTGTTTCTAGAGCAGAGAGGGTAAGGGAACCGTGCATGAGATGTGGTTAAGACAGAGGCAGAGGCCAGCAAAAGTAGATTCTGATAGCTCCGAGAAAGGAGTTCAGGATTTTCTTCTAAAACTGGGCTCTTCAAAAAAATAGCCACTGGCTATGTGTGACTATTTAAATTTATATTTTAATTAACTAAATCAAATTAAAATGTCCCTTCCTCAGTCACACTAGCCACATTTCAAGTATTCAATAGCCTCATGTGGCTACGAGCTTCAATATAGGTTGGTGCAGACACAGACTATTTCCGCCATTGCAGGAAGTTCTATTGGTCACTGTTGTAGAGGAGTCTAGACTTCGAGAATGACATGATTGGTTTTAAGTTTTTAAGATTCCAGTGTAAATGCTGAATTATAGAGAGACAAGAGAATGAGGCAGAGAGATCTGTTAGGAGGCCAGCACTATAGGCAAGTCAAGAGGTGATAATGACTTGGACTAAAAAAGTGATAATAGAGTTGGAGAGAAGTGGAGAGCTATATTGTGTATATTGTGGAGATAAGGAGGTACCGTGATTTGTTGAGGGATTAGATATGAGGGGAGAAGAGAGGCAGGAAAAGGATGACTGGAGGATAAAGGGATAAATGTTGGTGCCTTTTCCTGCCTGAAGGAGTCTTATTTTCGGGAGGTCCAGTTTGTGAAGATGGTTCGAGAATTGAGTTTGGGGAACTGATACTCACAGGAGGGGCGTATCTGGAGATGTACTTTTGGAGCCACAAACAGAGAAAAGGTATTTAAAGTCCAGAGAATGAATGAGTACACTTAGAGATAGAGGATAGATGAGAAGATGCAGGAGGCTTGAACCCTGAGGAACCTCAGGACACAGAGTCAGAGAGAAAAAGAGGAGACGTCATCTTTCACGCTCCTTTCTGTGAGAGTCATGGTTCTTCAGGAGCAGGATAAACCCTTGATTAACTTTGATTAATTCCTGGATAGCCTTTATGAACATGCTCAGTTTGAGGTGGCCAAACGGGAAACTTACAAGAACAAATAGGAGAGCCCCTCCAAGACCCTCCTGGGGAAAGCAGGAAGCATGTGGTTAATTGGTCAGGCTCTGGAGCAAGACTGATGTGGTATGCATCCCAGATCCACGAGTTACCACCTGTGTACCATGAGCCTCATTTTTCACCTATAAAAGTGGGTTGTGGGGAGAGTCAAATGGGATTGTGGGTATGAAGTATTGGGCTGCCGGAAAAGTCATGACGCATGTTTGCAACGAAAAACATAGAAAAAAATACGTCATGACTTTTCCGACAACCCAATACATAGCCCATAGTTAATAACAACTTCATGCCAAGACAGATGCAAATATTTAGACCTGGTTCATCAGCATTCCCTTGACACCCAAAAGGTATGAAAGCCCCAAGTACCTGCAGGTTTTTATTCTGCTTCCTTGGAGCCCTGGTCTGGTTGAGCCAACCCCACTATTGGTCCATCTTAGCCTGTGATGGAAATGGGTAGACTTTTCATGGATGATCATTATAATTATTAATAGGACGCAGAATCTAACTCATTCAAAGTTTCATCTGTTATGTCTTGTTTGATTGAAAAATTAAGGTTAAAAATGATTGGAAATGACAAAGGAATCAGCAGATCTAATTTTAGGATCTTATCAGTTGTTAGGTAACTCCCTAAGCTACTTGTTTATACTGTAACATTAGAGGAAGCTTTGGGGGAAAAGTAATTTCAGTTTTGATGGGTTTTGGAGGGTCTTGGGATGCTTTGTCTGAAAATACTAAGTCTACTTTGGGGCAGGCTGGAAGTCTCCATATCAAGCATATCACAAATGTGGAGAGATTAGGCCCTTAGAAAAATAGGGCTGAAGATATGCTCATTTCAGATTCAGTTTTGACTCTTCCCTCCTTCCCTCCCTTCCTTCCTTCACTCCTTCCTTCCCTCCCTCCCTCCTTTTCTCTCTCCCTCCTTCCCTCCCTTTCTTCCTTCTTTTCTTTTTGTTATGGAACAAGTCTTAGAGCCCCCTTAACCAGTACAGGGTTCCTCTCTTCCAAGCCCCTGGAACTTCCCCAATGATGAAAAACTACTGTATCAGTTATGTGCTGCTGAGTAACAAATTACTCCTAAACTTTCTTACTGAAAACAGTCATTATTTACTCAAGAGTCTCTGGGTTGGCAATTTAGGCTGAGTTCAGTTGGAATAGCTTTTCTCCACTACACATGGTGTCAACTGAATTTACACATGCATTTGTGCCTCAGCAGCTGGGGTAGACAGGATGTTTTCCCACATGCTCTTTTATTCTCCAAGAGATCAGCCTAAGCATTTTTTCATGGTAGTGAAAACTTCCCAGCAGCAAGAGTAAAGCAAGCCCCAGTGCATAGGCACTTCTCAGTCCTCTGCTCATATCACTTTTGCTAATGCCCACTGGTGAAAACAAGTCACCTGGCTAAGCTCCAAGTCATTGTGGGAGGAAGCTACACAAATGCAGGGACACTGAGAGGGACCAATAATGGGGGCCAATGCTATATCAGCCTACCCTACTCACACCTACCTCAGAAGCTGCTTCATTTTCAGATACTTCTAATTTTTAGAGAGTGAAAGTTTGTCTCCTGAGTGAAAATCCAAGGATCTAGCTCCCATAGGATCACCATCCTATGGATGTATTCAATGACTCTTGAATGTTTGACTTGCAAGGGACTTCGTCCCATGAAGTCTTCTGTAGGCTAGAAGGGTTGAAGTCTATTCCCATAGATAGTCCATTAGCTCCCAGCTAGCTCCACAGTTCCCAACCACTCCTGTAGCTCTGATCCTGTCCATCAAAGAAGCCCCTTTTGGAGGTCTGTTGTGCCACTTTGTGACAGACATATGTCAAACTATTATTTTAGCTCTTGGTGAAGTTCTCTGTAAACTCATTATTGCTACCAACTTCCTATAGCCAGCATTCAACGTTCTTCAGTTTTCCTACCTTTGAAGTCAATCCCAGGCACTAAGACTTAGCACTTGGGTTATTCTAGTGCTGAGTAACTTGTCTGCAGATCTCTCCTCCCCTCTGGTGCTTGATTTGACCCTATTAATAGTAAACATTTATAAGTGCCAGACACTGTCATATGTATTACATAAATTAAGCATTCAATCTGCACAGTAATATTATGAGACAAATACAGTTATAAGCTCCTTTTACAGAGGATCTATCCAAGGCATCGAAGAATCAAGTACAGGTGCTCCTAAAACAACATGGCTTTGAACGCACAGGTCCACTTATATGCAGATTTTTTTCAATAAATACCTGCACTGTTTTCAATCCACGGTTGGGAGCTCACTCCTGCGGGTGGGGGAAGGGTGGCGATTGTATGCATTGATCTACATCAGTTTATATAGGGGATTGGAGCATCCATGGATTCTGGTATTGCGGGATCCTGGAACCAATCCCCTCAGTTATGTTTTGGGGGAGTCAAAAGTTATATGAAGATTTTTAAACAACCTCCACATTGTTCAAGGGTCAGCTGTAATTTGCCAAAGGCACACAGCTGGGAAGCGGGGAAGCTAGGGTTCAAACCAGGCCGTCTGATATCAGAGCCTTACTCTCAGCCACTCTTCCTTACTGCCCTTCTAGATGCAAGGGTTATCACGTAGAGGCCATTTGTCAGCCCTCAGGTCCATCTGCGGCAGCACCTGGGGGCTTGACCTCATTGAATACTCCTCTTCTTCCTGAGCAGGCAGTCATGCTGTGATTCTTCTTGTTACAGGTGCAGTGGGAGTGTATCAACCCCAAGTACAAAGCCAAGAAGAAGAATTACAAGAATTCAGGCATTGTGATTTTGAATCAATGCAAGGTATGTACATAGCCCTCCTCCTCCAGGAGTATGAAGCTAAGGCTGTCTGGGAGGAAGAGTTCAGGCTGTGAGGTCAGACAGAAAGAGTGTGGAGAAGATGTGATCTTTTAAAAAATAAAAATCAGAAAGTGAGTGTATTAATGGACATACAATGAGAAATGTAAGCACGGGTGGTCTTGGATCTGTGGTAGCCCAATGCCACCGTCCTCTCCACAAGGATAGTCCTGCCCTCAAAGGTAGAAGAGTCATTAAGTCAGGCTCTTCTCTGCCCAGGGAAGCACCAGAGGGAGATCTCCAAAGGGGGCAACCAACATTTCTAAATCACCTACTATGTGCCTATCACAGTGTTCATTGCTTTATATGTGGCACCTGCCCCATGCTCAAAGGGTACCATGAAAAGAAGACAATAGGGGAATATTCAAGGGCCTAGAAATTCCTCCCAGAGGGCTCTAACTCACAGAAAATTCCATGTACTAATAATTAAACCCCTTAAATTGCATGTGAGAATAATTCTGCCACTGGTTAAGTACTTACTACTATGTGAGAGTAACTATAATAAATTCTGCCTACTCTTATCACAACCCTGAGATTTCCACTTTCAAATGACATCATTCACAAGTGGTAAGTTTAAGAGCTGAGATTTTAATCTATATCTTTCTGACTTCACCATATAGGGCTTAAGTGCCATCAAGTTTCTCTCTATATATGTCATGTTCCTTCTCCCAGATTGGCCTCTGTATGGCTGCCAGAACATCCTTACACAAAGCAAGAGAGTAAAGGAGAAGACTGATTGGTCTGGTGTGGGTCACATGCCCGCCCTTGAACCAATCACTGGAACCAGAGGATGATGTATATTATGATTGACCATCTAGGGTCATTATTTTAACAATGTCTTTTTCTTTTCTTGTATTTTATGATGTTTTTACATCTTGGGGCCTTGCAGACCTGGAAAGGGACTGCCCCTCTAAGGGTTAGCTAATTCCTAGAGATAGCAGTCAATTTGGCTGTAAGCCTGCCTTTGATATGCAGACCAACCAATCCAAAGCCTATACCCCCAACCACTTCCTTTGCTCTCACATATCAAGGCAATATTCCCCCTGCCCTGTATCACCCCAGGGCCAGGTGTCTTCTTACACATCTCTCTCTGCTCTTTTCATTAGTTTTGCAGCCTAACCCTAAAGTTTAAACCTCTGGTCTATAAAGAAACATCTCATGCTATAACTAAAACTGTTCCCTATCTTCCTCCTATGCAGATCCACAAGATGCATTCTTTCTTGGACTACATCATGGGTGGCTGCCAAATCCAGTTTACAGTAAGTTGCTTCCACGTTTGTTCTTATTCAGGGAGCAAGGTTGGGGAGCAGTGCTAGGTTTGGGACACAAGAAGACAAAAGTCTATTAAAACTCTTGCTTTGTTCAAGTCTCATTGCTAAAATATGGCATGGTAACTTGTTTTTATTATAAAATGAGTTCCTTCTTCTGTCTTGTCCAGTGAGTATAGTTTTCAGCATCATAGCAATACATTCATGCCACTCAACCTCAGGTGGTTTGGGGAACCATCCTAATGCTTCCCCTTCTTTCAGTAACTATATGAGGCCTGAAGCAGTGGGCAGAGTGCCAGATCCCATCACCGGGTGAGAAGGATGGGGAGGAAGTGAACCATCCTAGGAAGTCCCACTGAACCAAGGCCTTTGCTGTATTCATATGGCTGGAACACAAGCATCAATGTCATGCCCAGTGGTCAGTGACAAGTGTAAGCCATCCAAAAGGTTCATCAGGCAATGAAAAGGTGAATTCTAAAATATTGGAGGACCAGCCTTTCAACGCTGAGAAATACAGTGTGTGTCTGGACTCAGTGGGAAGATTGAGAATCATCTCCTACATGTAAACTGTGAGCTCCTGGGGTTTACACACCTAATATGCATTTGGGTGACTGGACTGGGTCTTTTAAAGTGCCCGTGTAGACCAAGTTTGTAGTCCATCTACTCTGGAAAAACTTGCTTTTAGTGGCTTAATATTCAAAATCTTCCTTGATTGGGGCAGATGTGACCTCCAGAAAGAGAATCCCCAGATGCCAAGTGATAGAACTGCTAAAATCTGTGGGAAAGAAATGTGGATGTAAACAAGAGAAAAGCAATTCGTGCATCACCTGCCCCTCATCTTACAGAAGAGTACTCATGAAGCTCAGCCCTGTTTAGCTCCCTAGACTGGCTCAGCCATGTGAGGATGACAAGGAAACTGGTTTAATTTTTTTTGTCCATGTTTGAGCCCAAGAGAGTAGACAGGGCCACTGTGTTCCCAGGACCAGGGATAGTGGTACTCAAAGGACTAAAAGGGAAGTCCCGAGGGGGTGAGATAAGGGGTCGTTTGATAGGTCAGCCTCTCTGTAGCTAGTGGCTGTCTGCTACTGTAATCTCAGAGGGGTCTACTTATGTTCTTCAAACACTGGGCATTGTTCATTTACCTCTGAATAGTTACAGGAGTTGATTATAGAATTCGGTCATTTCTTTAAAGTCTAAGATTCTTTAAAGCACACCCACCCAGCCCTCCTACATACACACTGGCACATACAGAAGACAGCAAACATGTTCGTTGTGGCAAACACACCTAACTCTAGCTGTCCTGTGGGCTTATTGTCCCTCTGGGTGTTAACAAATGGAAGTAGAGAAGCCAGCAATGTCATAAAGGAGAGCTACTGGAAATAGTGTCCCAAGATCTTAGGCAAAGGAGTGATTTCAGGAAACTATTTATAGGTTTTCCAAGGAAAGCTCTATTGATTTGGGTTTGTTTTAGATTCTATAGATCCCATGCTCTTCAAAAACTCTGTATTCAACTGTCAGGGCCTTGCTTTGCCCTTGGAGTTGTGCTGCAAAGAATCAGCCCCAATGAAATCCAGAAGTTTAACCCTATATGGTTCCCAGGTCTACATCCTGACTTATAGAGGTCCGTATGGCCTCCCTGACACAGAAGAATTGCCCTCTCAGCCTTGATCTCCCTTTCTTTCTCGCTTTTTCTGACCCTTCCAAACTGGGAGGTCCCACCTTAATGGTTCTCACCACCACCTCTCCAGTCCCAGCTTCTCAGCTCCTCCAGTGTCAACCAGTGGACCTGTGGGGTGTAGGGAATGAGTCTGGACTAAGGATTGAAAAAAAAAAGGAGAATGTACAGATAAATGCTAAGAAGGGGCATACCATCACCAGTGTCTCCCACAAAGCCCATCCTCCTGTAGGCTTTCAGGCTGAGGACACAGAAGAATGTTGCTAGGTGTTCTGTTTTGAACTTTCTACTAAAGAAAACATACTAGTCACTTTGATGTCAGTCTCCTCCAAAATTAAGTCAGCTTTCTCATTAATGTCTTACTGCTCAAGCAATACAATCTAATGTAAAGTATAAACTGTAATGCAAACTACTAATAAAAATAGCATGTCCTGTTTAATTTGGTCTATACATGTTTTATCTGCCCAGTAATTTTGTTGAAATCACCTGGCACATGAAAGGAAAATGGCAGAGGGATGAGAAATGAAGAGAAGAGAGCTTTCTGCCATGGAGACAGACAGAGCAGAGAGGTTTTATGCGTGGTTTGGTTTTTTAAAAGTGTTTTTGTTGCAGTAATTCCATGTCTGAGCCCTCCAGAGTCAAAAAATCTCATTGGCACAAAAATTAATAAAGCCCAGTGGCTTTAGCCATGATGAACTTCCTGTCTCCCTGGAGACAAATCTTCAGTGAAATAAAGTTCTGGATCTTTTCTCCACTCTTGACCATTCTCCATCTGTCCTCTGTGCCCAGGAGGCTTTTTTCTTTAGATGTACCCGCCAGGCTCTCCCACTCATGGATTTTGGCTGGTTTTCACCAATGGGAGGCCCCTGCCAGAAATCAAAGAGTGAGAGGACAGAGAAGCTGGGGCACCCCAGTTCTCTGCCTGTCAGGCTGTGGTTTGGCAGTGACCGTGTTCCTCCACAGAAAGCCACCATTCCTGTCAGGTGCCCAGTCCTACAGATATTGCTCTTACTAAATTCTAGTAACTGCTCATCCCTACCCTTTTTAGTTAGTCTCCCTTAACCTCTTCGAATTGTCCTTTTAGTAAACTCTTCTCAGTCATCCCTTTTGAGACTCTCACCAATACTCATTACAAAAGGATGAGAAGAAAGCTTTTGCACCTTCCACAGATGCCTGGGCTTCTGGTTCAACCTTTCCCTTCAGGTACCAGGCTGATGTATATTAGGTACTCAAAATATTTTTGTTGAATTATAATAGATTGAACTCTAAATCTTCAAGAAGAGATAAGCTTTAGGGGAAAGAAGAAATTGCATGAATAAATATGGTACCAGGTTTTTGCTTTAAAAAGCAACCCTATGAACATCCATATAGTCTAATGATAAATACTGAAACCTTACCTGGGTTAATATGAATAAGCAGGCTATGTATGAGGGTGTGTTGGGGAAGTGGTTTGGAATAAGAACTTGAAGGGCTTTGAAGAACTTGAACTTGAAGTAATATGATGGATAAGGAAATGTTCAGGAGAATCTTGAACAGGACATTGAAGCAATCAGTCAGACCTTTAGGGAAACATATCTGGAAGTTTTTGGTAAAAGGCACTGATGGTGGTGAAGGGACTTTGAAAGATGAAGCAAGACAAGGTTAAAGCCCACTGAAATAGTCCTGGGGACGGGTAATGAGAGGCTAAATTAGAAGGACAGCGGTAGGAAGAGGAATTGTGGAAAGAGAGTCAAAACACCTTGGCCTATGATACAAAGAGGAGATAGAAAGCAAGGGAGAATGATGAGTCCAGGAGGACTCAGATCGTTTTTGCCTGACTGACAAAGCATTGTGGTCCTATTCATGAAAATATGGACTCACGAGGAGCTGCTGGACAAAATGATGCATTTGTTTGTGGACATGTTGAAGGTACTTTCAGATATCCTAGTCGAGAAGGCACTTATAAATATGGACCTAGGTGTCCGGAGAGAGGTGGAAGTGGGACATATATGATTCTGGATGAGATAGCCAAAGAGAAGATTACAGAAAAGAAAGGAGCCTGGTGACAAAAAATGATAGAGGGCCTGCATTTGGCAGCAAGGGAAAGAGGGGCAAGCAGTAAGAGATGCCAGAGGAAAAAATCCAGGAAGAGCCAGTAACTCAAATGATCAGGAGAAAAAGATTACAAGATCAAGGATGATAATCCCATAGGCTGAAGAGAAGCCAGAGGGTGAAGACTAAAAACCCATGAGTGGGTTACGTGATGAGTAAGTACACACCATCTTCAAAAGAGCAATTTCAGCAGAATGAGTCAGAAGAACCCCCCGAGTTAGGGTGTGAACAGAAGGTAAGGAAGTAAATACACTGGGTCCAACTATTCGTTCAACAAGGTTGACAGTGAAAGGAAGACAAGAGGGGGAAAGGAGGATGGCAACTTGAGGATTAAAAGAGGGAGGTTTTAGGCTAGAATCTGACCATAAGCAGAAGAAAAGGCCCAGTTGAGGGAAAGAGATGCATGATGCTAAAAAGAGCCCTAGTAATGATTTTACACTTTTTTTGGTCACCTGGGTCACTTAGGAATCTGATACCAGATCTATATTCTCTCTGGAAAATGCACACGCTCAATTTTGTACACTATTTCAGGAGGTCAAGGGGACCCCTGAGGACAGACAGTCCTTGTTTCTCCTGTGAATCCTTGAGTCATGAGAAGTTTAGGGCAACTGTCACCTCGCAGCCTTGGAGGAGGTAAGTGCAGGTGAAACAGACTACAGGGGGAGAAACTGAGTTCAATATGTTTGACACAAGGCACAGCAGTTAAAAATAAAACTAGATGCTAGAATTTTACACACAAAATACAAAATTATAGACAGCATAGAAGAGACAGATACCATAAGGCACTTGGAAAGAAAGGGGTAGAAGACTTAAATGTTTCCTTTGAAAGTTATTTCTTTTTCAGATGCATAGAAATATTCCTTGTAAAAAGTATTTTCACAGATACAAGTTGTAAGCAGTCTAAATGTCCTACAGTAAGATAATAGCTATGTAAATCACAGTACCTTGTTTAAGTGGATTATGATTAAGCCATTTTAAATCATAATTATAATAATTGGAAATAACATGGGGACATGTTTATGACATAGTGTTAAGTGAGAAAAAAGAACAATTATTTAAAATGTTTAAAATATTTGTATACATATATATGTATATGTATATATACATATATATGTATACATATAAGTAATACAATAACTAGGAAGAAAAAGAAACATAAAATATGACTTACTAGGCTAGTGAAATCCTTTAGGGACAAGGATTGTCCTCAGAGGCACCTTTGACC